ATGGGAGTTTGCCCATGTTCGCACATGTGTTTTGTGGATTTGGACAAGGCATATAATTGTGTCCCTTGGGGTATCCTGTGCAAGATGACATGGGAGTACGCGGTGTCTTGTCTGCTGTCACATTTATAACTGCAGAAAAAGCTTGGTCTGCATTATCAGCAATAAACTGAAATCATTCTCAGTGTGTGATGGACTCTATTATTTCACATTAAAAGGAGCCAGTTGAAGTGGTTCTGGCAGCTCCTCCTGGTTTTTTGTTATTGTGCCCCTTAAACCTTGACTCACAGATGTTTCTTCAGTTTGTTACTGAGTCACTACAGTTTGGTGCTCTCTTTAAGCCTTGTTATAGTTAGTGTACAAACTTAGTACTCCACATCTCAATGGCAGTTGTTCATACTGCTTTAGCTACCTTATATTTCTTATTAACAACAATAGTGAATTAATATAATTCAACAAATTAATAAAAGTTAATAGTTAGTATAGTATTTTCTTTTTAATTTTGTGTTTGCCAGGTAAGGAAGAGTGGATCAGTACAGGTCTCTACCTGTGTCCTGGAATGAAGACCATCGTGGTCTTACCAGCTGAGATTATCAACAAAAACTGGAAGGTACTGCAAACAAAATCAGATTACGTTGAGTTCTTTGTCCCTCTGATAATGCTGCATGTTGTCTGGTCTTTGATAGAAACCATAAGAAACCACAACTCACCTCCAGTGAGGTTTAGGGCCAAGTTCATCCTACTGAGGCGTCCCTTTCCTTTCCCTCACCCCCACTGTTTGCGATAGTTGACTGCCCCTCCCTGACCTCGGTACTAGCAGAGGTTTCTTCCTGTTAAAAGGGAGTTCTTCCTTCCCATTGTTGCCAAGCGCTGCTCATAAGGGGAAATTTGATTGATGGGGTATTCTCTGTATGTATTATTGTAGGTTTTTTACCTTAAAATATAAAGCACAATGAGGCAACTGTTGTTGTGATTTGGCACTATACAAATAAAATTGATTTGAACTGAATTGAAAATCTAATTTTGCAGCCTGTTATCATTTTATTTATCTTGCAATGTGTAGCTAAAAAGTATTAGGCAATGACACAATTTTCCATTTCATCTACAGATTCAGATAGGCTGTCAAACTGATGAGCTACATGACAAGGATGAGCTGAAGAGACCACCATGTGTTCATGAGCAGTTTACTGTTACATCAGA